GAGGGAGGGTCCCCGGAGCCAGGCATGGACCGGCTGCCCCGCCGGGACACGCCAGGGTGGGCAGTGCGTGCCAGAGGGGGCTGCAGGCCAGGCTCCTGTCTGTCTCTCACCTTGAGGAACCCAGTGGCCTGGCCTCTCTCCGTTGGGGAAGGCCCTCTGGGCGGATGCTCTCCTCAGCCCCAGACAGAGCTGCCCAGAATCACAACCAGGGTCAGCTGGCGTCTAATCTGAGCCCTCGCCAGGGACCAACGCTCCAATCCGCATCAGCATGGCGCCTCCTCACCTCAGGCCCCAGTAACCACAACCTTCTTTTGGCAGAGCCCAGGTCTTCGGAGTCCCCCTTGCCAAGATGCCATTGCCCAAGTAAGTTGCCAGACCTAAGCCCCCAAAGCCCCAGCCTCAGGACTTAGAAACAGCCAAAAACAGTATCCATTGGAGGGAGGCCCCCCTGCTGACCTCTTCCTCCATGTCTTCCCACATAGAACCTGCGTGCGACATAGGACCATTTGTCCTCATCTTCCCTCCAAACCCGAAGGACACACTCATGATCTCCCAAGTCCCCAAGGTCACCTGTGTGGTGGGAGACCTGAGCCGGGATAACCCAGAGGTCGAGATCACCTGGTTCATGGATGATGTGGAGGTACACGAGGCCCAGACCCAGCGCCCAGAACAGCAGTACAACAGCACACTCCGAGTGGTCAGCGTCCTGCCCATCCAGCACCAGGACTGGCTGTCGGGAAAGGAGTTCAAGTGCAGAGTCAAGAACAACGACCTCCCAGCCCCCATCGAGAAAACCATCTCCAAAGTCAAAGGTGGGAGCAATGTGCTGAGAGCGCCGGGTGGCCACGCCCACAGGGCGGAGCCTGGCGTGGACAGCCCTCAGCCCCGGCAGTGACCTCTGCTGACCTCTGTCCCCACAGGGCAACCCCGAGAGCCACAAGTGTACGTCTTGCCACCACCAAAGGAGCAGATGACCAACACAAAGCTCAGCCTGACCTGCTTGGCACAAGGATTCTACCCTGAGGATATCTTTGTGGAATGGAGGAGCAATGGCCAGCCAGAGGAGAGCTACAAGAACAGCCCGCCCGTCATGGACTCCGATGGGTCCTACTTCCTCTACAGCAAGCTGCCAGTAGACAAGAGCAGGTGGGAGA